GCGATCTCTTCCAAAACTAGTATCAACAACCTCGGTAGTCACATGCCCGCACATTTTTTTTTGCCACCACTTTGTCAGGTCTTTCAATCTCCTTCTGCAGGTTCAACAGTGTATCAAACCTTAGCCGAATTGCAATAGACCTTGGGTACTGCTTTCCTGGTTATTCTCAGTAGCAATAGTGAAGAACTGTGATTAAAAAGGCCTAGGATCTGATAGACATGGTCATGCTTTATTCTTCCTTTTATATCCCACTTAACATATACAAGATATCTTGTGTCGTATTACAGTAAATAATATATAAGGGATTCGCAAATGAAATGGGTTTGTCACGTGTTGAGACATATCAGAATTGATAAAGTAAAGCGCATTAGCATGTCTAAAATATTATAGCATTTGAAAAAATACATGCAGTGTTTTCTTCACTTAACCAACTACATTGTGCATCAAATATCTCTTGTTGAATATGAAACAAATCAATGACCACATTATTTGCGATTGGTTTTAGCGAGGACAGCCTCTGAAAATACAATCTGGTAAAATATTCAAAGTGCACATTCCCACAGCAGTGCATCCATTGTATTGTTGACGTCTTCTATCCATGGTTCTGTTGTACCTCAGTTGGGGACCTGTCTCAGTCCAGAACTCAGTTGTCTCAGTCCAGAACTGAGACAGGTCCCCAACTGAGGTACAACAAGTATATAAAGATTAATCTGAATTTGTAATGGTTTATACTTTATAGGGTACCATTGGCCAACTGTTATTGTTGAGATTGCTGGTACACAAAGCCTTGTAAGTATGTTGTACCTCAGTTGGGGACCTGTCTCAGTTCTGGATTGAGACAACTGGATGTGTCTGGGTTCTGGACTGAGACAACTGAGTTCTGGACTGAGACAGGTCCCCAACTGAGGTACAACATACTCAATAAAATAATTCAAGAAATAATACCTCAGCATCACAGCTGGCCTAGGTAGACGTTTTGGTGCAAATGAAGCATCTGCTTGTTTGCTAGATCCCTGACTGCTCGTCCCGGATTAGCAAAACAAGCTGAATATGAATGCAATCGTTAGGTTTAATATATAATATAAATCCACAAACCATATGTAAAGAGTATATACAGTACTTGTTGATCCAACACATTGAATTGCAACCCGAGGGACCTGATGTATGAACTGTCTAGTAAATTCACAATGTGCCACCTCATGATCACAGTTCCATCCCGAAATTCCCAGCATTTTGATGCATTCGCGCGCTCTCATTTTTTTTCGAACTCTTCATAGCTTACATCTTCCACAAGGATCAGAGGGAGTCTAATAAATGGAAAAAATTTAGCATAAACAGAGAAATCGAATTTATGTAGTGCTATGATCTCACCTTTCTTCATCAATAATTTTGTAATTTCTATCTTTCCACCATTTCTTCTCTCTTGCATCGGCTTTGTTGGTAATGACTTCTTCCACACTAGATCGATAATCTCAATGCACTCTTGAAACGCCGGCTTATTCGCGTCTTGATGATCTTGATCAGGATCAGATAAAGAAGTCACTGAGCTTCTACGAGAACTTGAGAAACTGCTGAGAGCAGAAGCTGAGGAAACTCGACGAGCACCCGCAAAAGTCTCAAATTCTGTTGTAGACATTTTTGAGAGTCAAAGTTAAGTAGCTTATGTAATTAGTTCTTTTATACGAAATGTTGATACAGTCGACCTCCCATACAGTCACCTCCCATACAGTCACATTTGCTTACAGTCACACATTTGTTCATTCCCGAATT